TACAATTTATCATGTAAAAGTAGCATTACTATGAGGAAAATACATGTTTGTTTGATGTACTTATTTTTTATGAATTTATGAGGTATTACCACAGACAAACAGTCGTAACTCTTTGAAAAAGTTTTTCTTGAAAACATAGTATCTCAAAACATAGGACCTCAGTAACGACATCTCTCGGACTTCTCGCGGAAAACAAGCTTGCTCGCTAACTCGCAAACAATATTGCATAAAAGTTCTATAGAACGTCAAAGTGATTCGATGCGCTGCGGCGAGTAGTTCGCGGAACTGATAATATTCAAATCAATTGTTAAATGCGTGAACGAATATACACAATGAAGAGTTACGTCTGTTTGTCTGTGGTATTACAGAAGATGTTACAGTTTGACATAAGTTGGGGTAAGACGGCCACCTTTTGGTTGGTTGAAACTGAATGCGTAAATCATTTCTGAAATAGGGGAAATGGCTCTAATGTAGGCCTATGGATCTAAAATTGGGCCCATCGCTAAAAATCTGCTATTTATCAATTTTATCTAAATTATCTAAATTATGTTTTGGTCGCTATTGAAAATTTAGTTGATTGCTGAATTTATGTATGTGCCTAAATTAGGGGCATTTAAGCCGACATTACATCCATTTCCCCTATATCAGACTTTTACGAAAACATTTGTAGATCTGTCATTAGTATGAATTCGTGATATGGAGGCCCCGGGGGATCCATCAGAAAATCCAGAACATCAGTAAAAGTAGTCAATTAATAAAACTAGGTTCAGGACTTCTAAGAAGCTTCTGTTACCGGCATTATAAGTAAGATGATCAAGGCATTCCGAATAGTGATGGTGCACAAGTAAATTAGGAATTCCCTCACTACGCAGCGCTAGTGTACATGTGAACTTCCTGTGTCTATAAGCTATATTTTTAAATCCTCACCATCTACGAAGTCAGGACATCTATACGTAGACTAATGTCACGTAGTGAGAGAATTCTCAACTAAGTAGCCTACAAATTTGAAGACATTGATCCTCTGAACAACTTTCCCCAAGACGGAAACATTCTAAATAGTAAAGATCTCAAGATATATTTTATACAGGAAATTGACTTGCACATTAAAGTCGTATATGTAGTAAGAAAATTCTCTACAACTGTTCGCCATCTGCCTTGGCCTACTATGCAATTTTGCCGAAGACAGTAACCTTCTATATGGCCAGGATCATGGTATATTTCATGTGGCCCTAGGGGTGGTCAACCTTATCCCGCATGATTTGTTTTTCATTATTTAGTCTGTTTTTGATTCGTGATAAAACATCATCAAATGAAACGGAAATTTTCTGAAATCAATGTAATTAGAGAAAGTACTCTAAACATCAATAATCACTCAATTTATCGCGTAAATTTTATACAGTTTTGGTTAAATTTTACTTCAAGCTTAAGGTGTCCGTCTTACCACATCGTCCCCTGCATGTTAATTGCAGAGCTCTTTTTGTCAATACGCATGATAACGAGAATAAAGCTGGGTTTAGACAGGGCAAGTAAATTGATAAAGTCAGTTGAATTCAACTGACTTGAACGCGAATTGAACGTGTAAACCATGCCATTCAACTGACTTGATCAGCTCACTTGAATTGAAAAAAGTTGAACCAGGCTCAACTTTTCAAGCCAATTGAATTCACCTGAGTTGATCATTTGACTTGCCTAGTCTAAACCCAGCTTAAATTTGAGCCAAAAAAATGGATGTTACGTATAACGTATAACCAAATATACACTGATAGGCAAAATAAAGTGCCCACCCCATCATTTTTTGAATTTCTCTCATTTATTTGGTTCAAATTAAAGTAAATACACTGTAGTATTTTTTATATCTTATTCTTTATATTCTTTTTAAGTTTCACTTATAGAATACCAGATAAAAAGAAGAGACTGACTCGAAGAAAAAAAAATCAAAATGGGTGTAAAAAAGAACAGTGACAAAAAAAAGTGCCCACTGCATTTTAACTCCAGAAAACATAAAATAAAGTAAAAGAATACCAGCCTAATAGTTAATGTGTCCTCCTTTGGCCTTCAGGACCAGCTGCAGGCGCTTCGGCATGCTCTCCACTAGATTCTTCAGGTGCTGTGGATCTAGTTCTTCCCAGGCGCGCTCCAGGGCTTCAAAATAGTTATTTTTATTGGTAACACCAGTTTTGTCAACCCTGGCATCGAGAATCGCCCACAAATTCTCGATGGGGTTGAGGTCCGGGCTTTGTGGAGGCCATTCCAGTGGTTTAATTCGACATGACCGGAAGAAAGACTTAGTCTTCTTGGCAGTATGCTTCGGATCGTTGTCCTGCTGGAATACGAATTTCTCCTCAAGGCCCGTCTGGATCAGCGAAACTTCCAGATTTTCCCGCAGGATGTCGATGTAGGAATCTGCCGTCATTATCCCGTCGATTTTCACCAGGCTTCCCACTCCACCCCACGAAAAGCACCCCCAGACCATCACATTTCCTCCTCCATGCTTCACCGTGCCTTGTATGTGGCGCTCCTGAAGCTCCTCACCCGATCTACACCACACACGAACCCGTCGCTTCCGGTTGAACAGTTCGAATTTTGATTCGTCCGTCCAGAGAACCGTTTTCCAGAACTCTAGGGGCTTATCAGCATGCTCCTTAGCAAACTTAAGCCGTTTGACTTTGTTTGCCTTGCTGATAAATGGGCGCTTCCGAGCAACTTTGCTGTTCAACCCCTGTGCTACGAGACGGCGACGAACAGTTCGACTGGAAACTGTTAGCTGAAGAGCCTCCTGGATCTCGCGGACAGTTACCTTCGGGTTCTTCTTCACTTCACGCATGATCTTGGTGTCCGTTCTCGCATCCGTTTTGCGCATCCTGCCTCTGCCAGGGCGATCCACCACTGATCCGAACGATTTCATTTTCTGCAGAATTTTCCCGACCGCTGTTTTGCTGATATTGTACTTCCTAGCGACAGACCGGTGCGATTCACCGTTTTGCACATCACGAACAACCAATTTTCGGATACACACGGGAATTGCTTTCGAAATCACTACGTCCTCCATTTTTTTCAACTGATTCAAATGCGATCACGTGTACAAATGCACCAGTTCCACCCGTTTGCTTCAATACATGTCAAACTTTCAAAACAAAAACAATCGAGGGGTTTTCCGATGGAAACTTATCGAAAACATACCGATTTTTGAAGTGGGCACTTTTTTTTGTCACTGTTTTCTTTTTCAATCCAAATTGATTTTCTTTTACTTCAAGTAAAACTTTATATTTTCAGTATTCCATAGGTGTAACTTTAAAAGAATAATAAAGGTAAGACATCGAAACAGACTACGGTGTGTTTATTTGAATTTGAACCAAATAAATGAGAGAAATTTCAAAAATGATGGGGTGGGCACTTTATTTTGCCTATCAGTGTACTACATTAGCAATATAGTTCACTCTTATGTTTTTCCGAAGACACGATTTTCAGTCATCAAGCACTTTTTTGCATCAGAAAAGGTAACTACACTTAAAAAATTCCACACGTCACCATCATGTGCCTCACTCTTATTTTGGCACTTATTGTGAAACACATCCATTTCATGTGTGAATCTTTTGCTATGATCCATGCTGGAATACTATTGATTCGAATTTAGACGCAATTGGTATCTATGTGCCTCACATGGTGATATCATATACAATATTCTACTTTATCGACTCTGAACATGATTCGATAAATCTATATTAAAAATGAATTTCTGTCTGTCTGTCTGACCCTTATAGACTCGGAAACTACTGAACCGATCGGCGTGAAAATTTGTATGGGGGGATTTTCGGGGCAGGGAAAGGTTATGATGGTTCGAGACCCTCCCCCTCTGTAAAGGGGGGCTCCCATACAAATGAAACAGAAATTTCAGCATAACTCGAGAACTAATCAAGCAAATGGAACCAAATTTGGCATGTGGAGGTCATAGGGGGTATCCCCTTAGATAAGAGGAGGGGGGCTACGTACAATATAGCATGCTTTTTAATTGGCGTTTAAACTTAAGCTAATATTGAATCCCGAGCAAGGCCGGGCACACTCAGCTAGTATTTAATAAAAGCTGCCAGAGGGCAGGAGCTTATACACATGCCTTTTTTAATGCATCATATTTGGGATTCGATCCTGAAAACTGTTGGTGTGTACTGCTACCGTTGTCTTCGTTCGATCTCACTGGACCAAAGTTGTTCTCGTATAGGGGGCTGGTTGATAAGGATAAAGTCACAACTCTTGTTTTCGATGTTTACATTGTATTGAAATGCAAAACACTTTAAATCCATCTTTTTTGAACAGTAGTGTCATTTAATGCGCAATACACTTGAACTGATAGTGAAATATTTTCAACATTTCAAAGTTTGGAACACTAGACATCAACGTGTATAACACATTGAATCCAGGTGAAATACACTTTAAATAAATATGATAGTGAATTTGAAAAATTAAGTGTTAAAATTAAATCGATAAGACGGGTGGGCTTTTTTCAGTGTAATGTATTTTATAAACATTATGAAGGATGCTTTAAAGCTTTAAGAGAGGTTTGAAACAAAACTTGTTTAAACAATAAGTTTCGTCTTCTCATCTTCGCTTAATCGACATGCAGACGATTTTTCATTGATTGTAATTAATGTAAAAGAATTCGATTTATCATGTGTAACAATTGCAGCTCACTCACCCCTCGACTGTTATCAAATGAAGGGTTGGTTGCCTTTTCTGGCGTTAGGTGACGTGTAGAACAGTAAGTTTCTGTCGCCAGGGTTTATGGGAAATCGAAAAGTGAACTATATTGTTAATGTAGTATGTTTGCTATAACCTAACTAATCGAGTTTCTAGTTACACTTTGAATAATAGATTCTATTTAGAAGCACTTGAAACTGGAGCAATTCTAGTTTTGTTCTGTTTGACCTTTTTCACCTCATTGATTATTCACCCATTGTAATTGCATTAAGATACATCCTAGTATCTCATAGGGACACCCAACTTACCATGTAGGAAGGCACGTTGTCTAGAAAGGCTTGGATTTCCGCTTGTTCCGAATGTCGCCCTAGCAGCTTGTCACCTTCGCCATTCAGCACTATCACCGCCAGATGTTCCATGTCACCGTTGTCTATCGTTTCCTGTACTGACTGCCCCTGTAAGACAGAAATCATCTTTCGCTCTCATGTTCTTCCGGTTGAAATTTATTGAATATGTTGTAAGTGTTGGTGAAAAATATGTATGTTGACAATAAGGTAGAGACATATTGAAAAAAGGAAAAAAATGCGAAATTTCAAAATTGACTTTGATGGTTTCAGCGGTTGGATTTCCATATGAATCATAAATTGCTAGCGATAGAATTTGGAACTATCCGAACAGGGGGTTTTTTGTTCCAGAAGTAACAGAAAAGTGGAAGGTGCATTTTATATACATTAATACTTCCTGCGACAGTGACCGAACTGAACTGACACCAAAACCATTCAAACTCATTTTACAGATATGGCTGTGGGTAGTAGGTTAATGATATGGTAAAGGGGTCAACTGTTGGAAATATTACATTCAACGTGTCTATGATCTCGGATGGTCGTGCACTGTGCAGTTGGCCTCCATCCGGTTCACCCTCGACGGTTCCCTTGATCTCCAATGCAGGACTGGGAGATTCAACAGTTTCATGCTGTTCATCATCATCATCATCATCATCATCACTGTTGGTGGAAGCTTCGGTGGTATTTTCTGCATTCGATTCATTTTCTCCTGGGTCGTTTGGCGGCTCTGTGAAAGCCCCTGCTTGCGCAATGGATTTAGTTTCAGCTGCAGGTTCGATGATCGGTTCCTCGTCGTTGGTGTCATTTTGAGCCTCATTTTCATCACTTTTGCCGTTCACTTCCGCGGTGGTTGGTTCACCGGATTGACCGTTGCCATCGTGTCCAGCCTAAATAATAACGATTAGTTGGTATTTAAAAGCAAGAGTGGCAAATAAGAGAAAAGAAAACAAGATAATTAGACACAAGTTCTCAATAAAAGCTAATTTTCAGGCAGAGATGCAGCAATTGATAAGACAGACAAAAATGCTTCATATTATATTTGAACATTGAACAAACACAGATACAAACACGAATGCTTTTATGCTCCTCTCTTGCTACGTCTACTATTTTCTTTGACATTCTTGACGTCCAAAAATTTCGTGTCTTGTTGTCTACAGGTTCATGTACACAAAAAGTGGTTTAGTTACTTCTAAGAGAGAGAGAGTTGTAGATATCAATAATTCAACGGTGAATGCTTCTAATGATGCTAGAATATGTATGTATGCTTTGCTAGTCAAAAAACAATGGACAACATTAATTGCTGATAGGACACGCTATAAGTAGATTGATAGGTAGTCAAATTCATTCCATAGTAAAAAAATAACGGTTTATCGCTCATTCAAGTTGGGTGGAACTGAAGCCAAAGATTATAGACTTTATACCTCATCACTTTTCTTGTAATGAACGATTTCTACATCGGCCTGATTTGAATCATCGTTCGAGTCACTCTTGTCGCCGTCCTCTTCATCTTCGGTGGCTGTGCGGCTCTTCTGTGAGGTGGCAGATTTGGCCGAACTACGACGCTCTACAACCGAAGCGGCTGAAACGTTGCGGACAGTAGAACCCGATTGACCACGAGACGAGCTTGATTGTTCATTGCGGCTAGTTGTCGTTGAAGGACTAGAACCTATGGTGGCAGGTTCATCGCCATTTTCAATAGATTGTTCTTGCAATTCATTGTTGTTATTCCCATCGTGCTTAGATCCAGCTGATTTGGTCATACTACTAGTTGCGGAAATTGGTTTTACCGATCCCCTACGAGACTTGGTTGATTTTGCGGAAAGTTTAGATGCTTCATTTTCATCACCATTTACACCACTAACTGGTCTTGATGAAAAGATTTCATTCGCTGTAGCTTCAATAATCCTTTCGGATTTTGCCGAAGATTGTCTGCTTTTTGCTGAGAGTACGTCTTGGGCGTTTCCATTTTCATCAGTAGTGACTGACTTAGCAGACGTCTCACGAGTTGTAGTAGATATACGAGAATTGTTGTCATTTGAAATATGAGACTTTGCTGATGATTGTCGAGACTTTGCTGACGATTGTCGAGACTTTGCTGACAATCTATCATTGCCAACGTCATCAACTGGGTTATCAGTATCTGCTTCGGGTAAACCATTTACAATATTACCACCATCTTCATCAGGTTTGTTCAAGCTATCTTGTTCAATCTCTTCAGAGTCATCATTCGCTTTCGAAGGATTACTCTCCAAACTATCATTGGTAAGTTCACCATTTCCCTGAACCTGTTTGCTTTCATCTTGCTTTTCAATTGCCACTGCATTTTCAATGTTATTTTCATTCGAAGAAACCTCCTTCGGTTTCTCCTCTGCCACGCTTTTAGCACTACCAGGCCCATTTTCCTTATTTAAATCATCTTTTTCTTCGTTCATTCCATCATCGTTTTCCGCTTCCACATCCTTATTTACCTCATCAATGTTTTCCGTTTGATAAACATCCATTTCAGCCTCAATCGGTTCCTTGTTTTCCTCATTATTCTTTTGATCTTCAGTCTGCGTTTGCTGCTCACTGTCTTCACCACTCACATCCTCTTTCCCTGTATCGATTTCCGTTTTCTTTGATATCTCATCGGCATCCGCTTGAGCTACAGCAGACTCAATGTCTTCCGCTGCCGCTTCTGATTCAGCCTGAAATGCAAACAAATTGGACACATTTTGTTCCCTGTGATTCTGAATGTAGCAATGGTAATGGCTATTTGCAAGATCGCTGAAAAGAAATCTGTGATTAGGATAGGTATACTACAACAGATACGGTCTAGCTAGAAAGGTTAGTCACTTCTATATAGAAAGATGAGGATCTAATTTGAGATAGTGGTGGTGGGTGAAATTGCAAATAATAATAACAATTCAAAGTACAGTCAACTCTCTTTTACCCATGCGTACCCAAGCTTTATCGCCAGAAAAAGTAACTTTTTCGCTCTATTAGTTTAGTTAGGAAAGTTGGCCGCTATGTTAGTCTACCGGATAATGAAAAACAGGTATTATGATACGAAATTGCAAAGCAGCTATTTATGCAACAAGTTGCAAAAAGAAGATTTTTTTCAGCGCGAGTCATAGTTTATCCAATGAAGCTTGCCTAAGGGCATCCCACTCTAAACTTTACATTTCACACGTTATACTCAGTTAGTTCTTACATATACCTAAGATTCCTGGAAATAGAATACCTAACATATATTTTACATTAGGTTGTTACCAACGTTGTTAGATAAATTTGAGTTATTTATTGTTTTTGTATGCATCAAGATATGGTCTTCGAATAAGAGAAGATCACTGCAAAAAATATTCACCTATAAATTAAAGTGAAGAAGAATCGTCAACGGTGGAAAAAATATCCGCTGATTATTTCTAAAATTTAGAAACGAATTGCATCATTTTCGTATTACACCTGCGCTATTAAATATGTCACACTATGATGCGCATTTAGTATGATCCGTTCCACATGTTACAGGAAGAAGTCAGGTTAACAATCATGTAACCCTTCCACTCGTTGTTCCTTTGGTTTTATCGATCGTTGCGTTATAAGATTAGGTTCTTTTCGACCGCTAATCGATGCACCCCTCGAAACATTGAAAAATCCACGAACCTTTCATTTTATCTGGTAAACTTTCATAGCGAATCAAAACAAACATAGTGTAGTGCTAGAATTTTGGCTAGAATGGGCTACGTTAATCGATTTGCTTGGGACCAATAGGCTAGTCAAGTAGTGAGCCAATTTAAAATCGTTAGTTTCCATCGGTTGGTACCACTCTTGGTTAAATTCTTGGTTCTGCCACGACAATCAACGGTTCCTAATTTTCTTGGGGAACCTGTAACAACTCTGTAAAGGAGTCCAAATTCATGATAGTGCACTGTTAAGTCTGCTTAAAACTAGAAAGGGTCTAGTATTAGTGAGGAGCAGATTCAAATCAAACATCAAGATAGCCATTCCTCGATTGGCTCTGGCTTTGACAGTTCGTTTGGCTGAAAACCAGCCAGTCCACTCCACTCTTATGATAGACCCTCTCTACTCATAACCATCAGTAATTCAAATAACACACGAATTTGGACGTATAACAAATATACCAATTATCGTGGTTTCATTGCAATTAAAAAATATTAAAACAAGAATTAATTTAATTTAATAAGAGCATGAGCATGATCATGATTGACCACGGTTGCTATAGAGTTAATTTATTTTAATTTAATAAGTGACGAAAACTAAAAAAAAAATACGGGGTTAAAAACAACAAACAACACTAGCAACCGGTCACTACGATGGAAATTATCGAAGAATAAAAATAGTTAAAAATACATAAGAATGCTTATGAGAGATTTGCAGGGTGAAAGGTAATTCCTGTCACTGTTTTTTAAGCAATTGTGGTATCAAATGGGTTAATCACATACATGTCTACATATTTTTCTTTTAGAGTGTGTTCAAATGTCAACACGGTTTTGAATTTTCATTCATTTGATACTCGTGATAATCTAAGAGAAGAGGTGACAATACGGGGGCGAAAATGAACCACTTTTCTGTCAACCGTGAACCAGCTCCTGATTGGCTGATTTCATGTGCGTAAGATAGAGATAGAGATAGATAAAGATAGAGATAGAATAGAAATAAAAGAGGAAGAAGCCAATTGTCACCTCTTCCTCTTAGGTGATAATCATGGACGCGAAAAGGGAACTCGTGATAAGCCTGTTTTTGAAGCATCATAAACCGTGTTCTATTTTGAAGACGCTGAAACCACTCGAAATAAACGAAAGATTCATTTTTCGCACCATTAAACGGTACATGAAAACTGGCTCGTGGAAAATCCCTCCCAGACCAGGCAGAAAACGCAGTGTCAGGACTCCGGAAGTTATCAAACGAGTGAGAGAGGGAAATCGGCGGAATCCTTGTAAGTCTGGGCGTAAGATGGCCAAAGAACTCGGAATGTCGCAGTCAACGATCAGGAGTATTTTGAAAGATGATCTCGGATTGAATGCTTACAAAAAACAGCGGGTGCATGGTTTGACCGGAAAGCAAAAGATAGCTAGAATCAAAAGATGTTGGAAACCGCTCAAACGGTGATTACGAAATTCTGTTTTCAGATGAGAAAATGTTCCTGCTACAGGATCACCACAACCAGCAAAATGATCGGATATATGCTGCATATGTTGCTGATATTCCTCGTAACAAACTGGCTGTTCAAAGGTTTCCAAGGTGATGGTTAAGGGATGTTTCTCCAAAACATTGAAAGTTCCATTGCTGTTCATTGAACCTGGTGTTAAAATCAACAGTAAATATTACATCGATAATGTTTCGAAGAACCACTTGCTTCCCTTCGTCCAAAAACATTATAAGAATGCACCATACTGCTTCCAACAAGACTCTGCACCGTCCCATCAGGAAAAAGTTACACAGGCTTGGTGTGAGGCCAATTTCTCGGATTTCATTTCGTCGAAAGAGTGACCTGCCTCCTCACCCGATTTGAATCCTCTCCATTGCTTTGCATGGGGCTACATATTAGGCGAAATAGGGAATACCAAGAGACTAACCGTGGAAACTTTTTAACTTACGTTTGGTGAAAATATGGGATGAAATGCCTCAAGATATCGTAACGATTTTCAAAAACGGTTGCGGCTCGTAATTAAAGGAAAGGAAGAAAGATTTGAATTGGACAAAGTTAGGACAAATGTTATAGATACACGAAACAGGAAATACACTAAAAATTAAATTTCACATCATCTTCTCATTTTTATCGACGGGGGCGACACATCTAAATCTCACACTAGCGAATCAATCTTCGAAAAATCTTCTTTCATTTCTCGCATCTACTTGCATCGCGCATCATCTTTTTGCAGGAAATCTTCAAAATCGTCATCAATCTTCTTTCTATCTACTCAGCGTGCGCGCAGCTAGCCACAGCAAAACACAATCTTTTTTGCATCGTAGATAGAGTCGTCCCCCTCGATTTTTATGACTATATACTTTATTGACAGGAATGACCTTTCACCCTGTAAAAATATTTAATTTGTACGAGTTGGATAATTACGACGAGTGCTGAAAAAATCGAACTACGCAACTTGTTCAACATTGTTTGCACTCAAGACTGTTGAAAAGTAGTACTTTTAGATACTACTATTTTATTAAGGAAAAGTAGACTATTATGTTATTCAAAATAGTGTCAAAAAGTGTTTTAAGCACATTGTATTTATCTGACATTACAATTGATCTGAATTTTTTTTTTTTTTTTCGTTGGCCTTATGGAAAAAACACCAACCGGTCAGCACTCGTGTTTTTTTTTATGTACCATGGGGACGTAATTTGTAATTAGCCCTTTCAGATTATCTTTCTTGAGGTCCCTTTCAAATTATCTCATTATTTATGGACGGCCCTTACACCGAGGCAGAAGAACGTAAGAATTCCATAAGAACCACTTATGAATTTTAGCCACAAGAAATCGGTATGAATTTCATAGATTTGCACACCAAAAAATTCTGAATTTTACTGGCGATGTAAACATCCATGCATGCAAACATTCATACATGTAAATTTCCTTTTCACGTAAACTAGCAGCTTGCAAGAAATGTTGCAAACAAAAGTGGACAGTTGCATACAATATATGGAATATTCCATGATATGTCTCATAAATTTACACGATCTATAACCTAAACTTGTATGATATATGACGCTCCATTTATGTGCATCATAGTAACGGAAATTTACACTACTTTTTTTTAGCTGTGTGCCTTATGAAAAATAATGTCGACAAAAAAAATAATAACATGGAGCAGACTGGAACCGAACCATGGACGTTGAGATCAGACTTGGTAAAAACACCGCTTGGTGCGGCTCGGTGGCAAACTACTAATGTATGCACAGCACTGGGTTTCTTCGATAAAGCACCTGGTGTCGGTGCAACATGTTGGCACGCCACCGAACCAAAAGAGAAACCCGAACGCGGTGCTACGGGCTTCGGCTCGCCACCGTGCGGCACGGAGCCAACGAACCACTCATGATTTCGTATCGTTCGTTGTTGGTGTTGCGCTATACTCGGTCCCATTTGCGTTTTTGTCAAAACTGAGTTTTTCAATGGAAGTGGTAGCAAGTAGCTCATAGTTTCATTATACTCGATGAACTCAAGAAATTTGTTCTGAAATAGTTTAGAAAAATGGGCAAGCAGGTTTTCCCTTTACATAAGAATCCATGGTGTGAAGCAAACTTAAAACGCGTTCTTAATTGCGTCTGTCATTTCTCTCGACAGGAACAGGGTCCGTTCGGATACGGATGTGTTGGCCATTTTCGTTGGCACCGTCGAAAAATTTTCTCTTCCGGCAAATGGACAGACAATTTTCTGATGGGAATTTTCGGTGGAGTCAAAGGATAGTACAAAGTCCGCCATGTTTCACGCACAGTCTGACGTTTGCTTATGGATTTTCTCATAGGAGTAATTAGAGATGAACTCGCCTAAGGCGAAAAATCACTTTAATAAAGAAAAAAAATCATAGGAGTAAAGAGCTACAGAATCGCCGTCAACGCCAATTCTCGTCTACGATTATGTTTGGTACATATTGTGCCGCGCTGCGTAAACTAGAGAAAGTTTTCTAAATAAAGTTATAGTGAAGCAAATTGTATTCGCCAGTGAAAAAAAGAACAGCAAAATTAACTTTTAATTGACCTTTGCGGGAAAAAAAAACTATGGTTTTAAGGCAATAATATTTGCCGCATTAATGCTACATGGTGAAAATCGCTGTTGCATTAATTCGCTTTGACGGCATTGGCTTTTCACAGAGTGATAGTTCCTTAGGTGCTGTTCATAAACTACGTAGACAATGGTGAGGGGGGGGGGGGGGGTTGGCAATTGTCCACGGGCCATACAAATTTTAAAAATGGGGGGGGTCAAGAATTCCAAACAAACTGTATACGTAGTTAGTGAACAGCTCCTTTGAGATTTGTCATTTGAGCGACAGAGTACGGAACAGCCCGCCATGCTTCACGCACATAATGACAGTTGTTTGTGGGGTTTTCAGGGTCAATCAGAAAAGGAACGAAAAAAAATTAGCAGACTGCGATAGTGGAAAAAAAGAAGAAGAAGCACTGCATTCTGTCTGGCACCGGACCCTGGCACGGAGCCGCACGGAGCGCACCGAATAACCATAGCACGGCACCAAGCCGAATAAAACGGCTCCGCGTTCAGGTTTCTTGTTCGTATCGGTGGCGAGCCGACAAGAGGTACCGAAACCGAGTGCGTGTTAGCTTTGAACGGGGAGCAATATTCTTGCACGGCTCGCAGTGCCGGTGGGTGTTTTCCCAAGTCTGGTTGAGATTACGGGTCTTATATCTGGACCACTCGTCTGTCGACGCTTGGAATTCGTTTCATATTCATCTAGTTATGTTTGATTTTTATTCGAATAATCAATTAACGAACCGAAAAGTAACAATTTGTAATATCATGACAAGTAAGCATTAACTTCTCCAGAGGATCATCACCCATCGTTTCAAACATTGTCTGCAATCTCATTGGTGAAAAAATGACAGCACAGCGAACAAAAAATAATCAATCAATTATTGATCGAATATGTAATTAAAAAATGTTTGCTGTGATTGTTTTGATAACACAAAGCGTTAAACGTCAACTCTAACGAGGGGGCAGCATAACCTCAAAAACACCTTGCATACTGGAGGTATTCATTTGATGATTTTTTTTACAACAAGGAATCTATTTTCTTGTATTTTGAAAGTCGACTGCGTCACCCATAATGAAATAGTTTTTGCACGGTCGTTTCCGCGAGAGAAGAAGAACACGCCACAGAAAAAAGAAAATAGTTGTCTCATCTTCTTCTTAGTTACAAACTATGTAGTACAGAGGTATTTTTGAAATGTTATCACTCACAAAAGAAAAAGAAAATTAAACTTGTCAAGAATTAAGTTGAGTAATTTACAATATGTTTTCTTATCATATAAGAAAATGGTCAAGTTTAGACGAGGCTCGGTAGCTCAGTGGTTACCGTTTCTGCTTACTGAGCAGAAGGTCGGGAGTTCAATCCCAGGCCCGTCCCTTCCTTGCAATTTTTCACTTTGCCTTATTCTATACCCACTAGATTTTAATGAAAACAAATTCTTCTTTAACACCGATCGCATCACTTACCACAGTGTGAGTCCTGATCTAAAAATAGAAATTGGATGAGTGCGCGCGCGTGTGTGTGTGTGTTTGTGTATTATAATCGCTCTACCAAAAAACGATCCCTGCGTGTGCGTGCGTGCAACCTTTCCCCACATCCAACATCCCAGTGATTTCTCGTGGAAGCGCAGAGGATTTCTCGGTTTCCTTCACAGCGAGTAACCACGTCAACACATTCCTTCCCATTCCCTAGTTGACCTGCATTCGGACACGGCCGGCGCTGGTATTGCTAAATATTAGATCTCCAGTTCTTACACATTGAGGATGAATGTTAGTCCCAAACATCATCTGTTGGTTCTCTGTGTAATTGAAGCTGATCTGGTAATAACAGAGCAGCCACCGTGGGCGGTCAATCTGATTTTTTTTTATAAGAAAATGGTCAAGTTTGGCATTATGTGCACCCATAAGCTCCAGGCCAGGGGTTGACACTGTTTACTTTTGACGTAGGACTACGTCTTTCATTTCTATACTGGGGGTACACTTTGTGAAAACCTGAAATGGAACATGAAACAAAATTATGAAAGATTTTGCACATTAATAACTCAGCTGCTCCTGAACCAAGTTCAATAATTTTAACAGCAATCGATCAGAAATCTTTCTACACATCTATATCACTGCTTCCGGCTTTTTAACGTGAAGCTATTGAAAAAGTGGTAATGTCAAGCATTGTCCAATGTACAAATAAAAAAATATAATTTATCACTGTTTTCATGAAAGAAACGTTCTTCCCAAACCCAGTCCTCATAATCGAGTACCACTTGGTTGCACATCATTCTGTTTTAACCTGAAACGATATAAAAGAGCGCTGCTGTATGGCATTAGCTCATAATCAAACCAATCCCACCAAGGTGGTCATACTTTAAAATAGACTTGATAGGACTAGGAACTGTAAATAATAATTAAAATCTCAAATGTACTAAAGTTGAAAAGACGCATCTGTGTCACTTGAAAAATTCATAAATGTAAACCACACAAACACAAGAAATAAAGATCATTTTAAAAAAAAGTTTAAAGACATTAGCTCATTTTCGCTTCGGACGGCGTGGTGAACAGCAATAGCAGCCGTATGAAAATGGTGGCTAGTCCACTCTTCTACATCCAACAAGCTGGTCGTGTCAAAGGAGGAAAAGGTCTTCGTTAAAGAGGCGTCAAGCGTCATCGAAAAGTTCTTCGAGATAACCGCCATCCGTCGTCTGGCTCGCCGTGGTGGTGTCAAACGTATCTCCGGTCTGAACTACGAGGTGTGCTGAAGGTGTTCATGGAAAATGAAGTCCGTGATGCTAAAAAAAAACGTAAGTGGCCATGGATGTCTTCTACAATAAAACGGCCCTTTTCAGGGCCATCAAGCTTATAACAGTAAAGAGTTGGTATAGAATTTATCTGTGCCTGTTTGTCCATATTCAGAACCACAGGCCCCCAACGACCACACAAAATGCTCTCCAGAGTTGTAATCTTGTAACCAAACTTGGAAGCAGGGGTGTAAGTGATTTTGATTGATTCTCTTCATCAACTTTCTCTTTTAAAATAATTACTACAAATTTGGTACGCCTACAATTCAAAAACAGAAAGAGTTAAGATAATAGATGATTGATCAATTAAAAGAACTAAATGCTCTTCACAATGATTCCGTCCACTAGCGGTCCTACGTCAAGCTTCCGTTCGTGCCCCTTCTACTTTTATTTCTCTCATTTTTTTTTGTCGTGCGCGAAAGTCTGTTTGTATCCATACACATTGTGATTTCATTCTAATTCCTCAATTTTGTGTAAATAAACCATTTCTGATCATAAATATTTTTACTAAGCCATCGTTGCTTAGCTTAGCAGCTCTTATTATGAGAAAAACTAAAATACATAAACACGTGCCGGTCTTCGGCGACTTTGATAGCTTGTTTTCCAAGTTTCGGAAGCAAAGGCAGCCGATTATCACAGAAAATGCGTCGACTACGGTGACCGCTTACAGCACTGCCTATAGGCCTTGGCCCCCCTTAACCAAATAGCAGACCATGCGATGCACCCATATTGTCTCCCCCAAACAAAACAATAATGCAATCAAATGAAAACAAACAAGCAGTGCAGCCGCGAGTTGATAGCTTGTAATAATTCCGATAATTATATGCAATTACACAGAGATCCGCTTTCAGATATCAATACGCGCTTACGGCGCTCTAAACAAGGAGACCGTCTTATCTGATTGTTTTCATAAATATGCTTTGACTATTTTTTTTCTATATTGAGAACTACAGAATGTTACATACAAATATGGCATAGGACTTGGTTTAATTACAATCTACCACCGGTCGTTCTGGATGTGTTTGCACTCTAGATAGTCTCTATTAGTTGTACAAGTATGTGTATGTATGTGTGTTATATACGTGTTCGCTTTTGGTGAGGATACGTAAATCAGAAGGAAGAAGTAAAAACGAAAACCGATGGGAAAATGGAAAATGTACACTACAGAAGAAAACGCTCTCTCGCATTGGCACCGGAAAGGAAGAGTAAAAGTTCATTTCAATCGCCATGCGTGACTACCTGATTCGTGTCTTCGGGGGTTCTACTTTCCTCCATATCTAGCAGATCGCCCATCTCCTCGTTGCCGTTGCCATCCGGGTCAGAACCGCCATTTCTGCCGTTGATTTCTGACTCACCGGCATCGGCACCTGTCGATTCCGGCTGATTTGATTCCGGTTCCTCTTCCCCCACCGTTGATTCTTCCCTACAGGTAGGTTAAAGGTGTGGAAACAAATGGATGCTTGTATTATTATTGGCTCTGGCAAAGGTGCGATTTGAATTGCATAGGGTACATTGAAGAAACAATAGGAAAGCTTAGAAAACACATGGAAAGAAAAGTGGACGGACGGAAACACAGGACAGCAAATTAGTCTCGATAATTACTTGTTCTTGGTCTCGCTTTCGCTCTCGTCGTTCGGGAGAACAGTTAGCGTCCCGTTAGTGAGATTGTGCACAGATTTAGACTTGGAAACACTATTGTAATTATTTACATCGTTATCTAGTAAGTTATTTTGCGATAAAAAGGGTTTCATTCTCGTTTGCGAACCGTTGCTCTGAAATGGGTTACGGGTATAGGGGTTGGTTCAGTGTTAAAATAGAGTTCTCAAACTAATCAGTTTCGTGAAAATAGAACATTACATCGTCGGTATCCTCGTCGAGTGTGAACATGGTCCAGTCGAAGAATGCCGGAAAACCCTGCTGCGATATTCGCGGTGCCTCCGGGATCACCGTCAACAGCGAACGGTCGATCTCGTTCGGTCTGTTCTTGTAGTACTCGGCAGCCTTATCCTTCTGTATGTTTATTGTATGCAATGTGGAATGAATGGGGAAAGTTTGTATTTATGACGTTTGGAAATGTGACTGCTGGAATGAATTGCAAATCGAACGGATTTCGACAGTTAGAATTGTGACAGTCGTCTATACTTTTACTAGAGAGGTTTAATTACAGCCTAACTGCGCAAAAAATATGCGAGCAAAAATAAGTGTAATAAGCCATTAAATGAACACAACTCAATGAATCGCCAGCAAATATAATACATTTTTTGCATCGCTCCATATTTTTTTCAGCATTCAGTTCTTTCTTATACTGGCCTTAACATTTTGAAAGCTGCGGTAGAACTCTACGGTAGCCACTAGATGGAAAATTTTCTTAAGAGCCGCAATATATGAGCAGTTGCACGCCAAATGACTAATCGGAAAAACTCAACCGTCTCCGATTTGAATGAAACTTTGCACAATTGTATGTTATGGGCAAGGATTCAAATTTTTGCTAAAATTCGGCCATTTTGGATCTTGTAATATTTTCAAAATTACCTCTTTGAAATTGTTCCAAAAAATTGTACCACGGAAGCGGCACTTCTGATCGAAATGACGTCTGATAGAAAGAAAACAAGTTAAAATCAAAAAAAAATATAGAAACCTGCATATCTCAAAATGTCCTTGCCGATTTTGGATATATTAAAAAAAGCTCATTAAAAATGCAAAATTATGGATAGACCTGTGTGCCGCCGTGCAACGCCGCCACCGCCGACACTTTTCTCAAGCCGCCGCCGCCGATGATTTTGAGTCAGCATTGGCGTAGCTAATGAGGGTGCCAGGGGGCCAGGCCCCTTCCAGAATTATCTAGGCCCCCCTCCAGAATTATCTAGCCCCCCTCCAGAATTATCTAGGCCCCCTCCAGATAAATTGTCTAGCTACACCAATGTGAGTCGGCACACCGCCGTGATAATTTTTGACACGCCGACAATGTAAAGACTTTTATACGCTTCTAAATTAAAAAAAGAAGTATTTCTTAACAATGGCTTTCATTGGTGTCAAAATTGCTTACGACCATAATGGCAATTATAAAAAAACGTTCCGGGTACCACATTCTGCAGATGCCAATCCCCTTACATTTTGGTTGAATTTTCAGCAACCAACAGAACTTATGAGACCTACGAGAAATGCAAATACATTGGATACTTTCGATGACTGTATCAACTATGGCGGGACTACATTCTCAGAACTCGAGCAGCTAATAGAACTCCAGTAGCATATAGAGCTCAAACAAATTGCGGTACTCCAAGATCATTCAAAACATCAAGCAACTCATAGATGGTCAGTAATTTCATGATATTCAGATTTTAAAAAATTGTATGACTGCAATAACTATTGACCTTCCCGATCATTGAGAATTGAAAAAAAAATATAATTTTATTTATTAACATTTATTAACTTCTGAAACTCCAGCAAACATAATTACTACTATGAACTTGGCGTTAATCTTCACCAACTTTCCTATGATTCGTTATATTTGAAAAAAGATCGATTCTTCTTTCCTTTATTTAACGTCGGCCTCTGTTCCGCAATCTACACGAAACGAAAATCAATTATTTTATCCATGTGTTTCACTTATACATTTTTGCCAAAACATCAGCCTTATACATTCCATAAGACAAACCACATAGGTCCTATAAGAATGCATAACCGGTATGTGTGACCGCTTATACATTTCATTTGACACATGATATTCATTAACTTTTTGCAAGGCGTCTGCTTATTAGTTGACTTATACATTTTATGAATAATAAGCAATAGAAATTTGCCAAAAGGTATAAGGAGATTTCTATCCGTGTAGTGCCAATCACCGACGGACATCGATTGCCATCCATTGACGGCAATCGAATGTGCAGGAAGGCAGCTTTCACACCTGCGTAGGATATCGCACCCATTCAATTCAACACACATGGGCCGGGACCAACGGTTTTAATTCCTTTCCGAAGGAAGAAGTGACCAGAGATTTTTACGCCTTAGAAAAATCCCACCGACCTCGGCTGGGATTGAACCCAGACCCATCGGGGTGTTAGAAAGCAGTCACGCTTACCACTACACCACCGGCGCCGGCTCCAAAAGATCGATTCAAAATGATTGATTAAATCGGTCGCCCAATGCTAGTAGGCACGCTTATCCCTTACTACGCAGATCAGGAGAATGCTCGGATTGCCATTTAAACAACTCTTTGCTTCAGTGTACATTTATACTCCACCTGCATTATTAAGCTAATCTGACCTGCTTTCTTTACTTTCTACTGCCTTCGTTGGACCCACTACTTCGTCCCGCTACCACACTTGCTGCTATCTTCTCCTTCCTTTCCTTCGCTTTCGACTTATCTTATTTATGTTTACAGAGTCGTTCGTGTACTTGTCACAATTCCGCGACGCTCAAGGCTAGTGACGTACAAGGACTAGTGTCTAACGGTGGTTGATGACTATCGTTTGGGATACCGGATTACGATAACGGCTCCACGATCCTCATTTGGGTTTGACCACAACGTTAATCAAAATATTGGTACACTATGGGGTCCTGGTAGTACTTTTACCACAGACAAACAGACGTAACTCTTTGAAAAAGTTTTTCTTGAAAACATAGTATCTCAAAACATATGACCTCAGTAACGACATCTCTCGGGCTTCTCGCGGAAAACAAGCTTGCTCGCTAGCTCGCAAACAATATTGCATAAAAGTTCTATAGAATGTATAGAAACGTCAAAGTGATCCGATGCCAGCGCTGCGGCGAGTAGTTCGCGGAACTGATAATATTCAAATCAACCGTTAAATGCATGAATGAAGATACACAATGAAGTGTTACGTCTGTTTGTATGTGCTTTTACTGTCTTTCCACCATGTTCTTTACCGCACATTATTTAGCTGTGGATATAGGTTGATCCATCAGCTATGGAAATTTGCCAGGTGATTGAGTTTTCACGATGGTGGTTTTTCTCAAAACTTCGACCTATATCAACTTGTTTCGCCCCATCATGACCCTTTTCACGCTACCTCTTTTTTGTTAATATAATATATTTGAGCTCTTTTTTATCGAAATAAACTAAAAAATATTTGAGCTCTGGCAATCCTCTGAATAACCAAGGCTTTAAAAAATCCAATTCATTGAAAACTTTCAAAACTTCCATGACAACAGGAACTGTTGTCATGGAACACAGAACACGAAAATCTGCAAGATTACTCAGAACTCCATGGATTTCGGAACTCATGAAAAGTTCGAGAAATCCCGGTACTCTAAGAACGTTAAAAACATGTAGCAACTCTCAGATTTTCAGGAATTACTCGGTATCAAGCAACCCAGAACTCTTGGGAATTCAAAAAAAAATCTGGTTCTATATGAGTACATGAATTGTTGACTACATGTTCTAAGAAGGCAAGAATTAAAAGAGTTCCATGAAGTTCTAGAATATCAGTAACCCTTAGAATGATATAGGGTAACGCCATTAGGGTCATTAGACCAAACACCATTAGGCCTAATGGTTGAATATGCCGAATTTTGAAAAGTAATATATTGAACTTAAAGAAATCGTTGGAACAATTTTCTTAATTTTTCGACTTGAACAAATTCTCAAGATCCCTGTTACCCTAATCAGACATTGAAGACATTACATAATCTTGAACTAAGGAAAACTTTTAGAAAATATTTAAAATGCTTAGAAAAATTTAACATTTCGGGACTTTCTTTTGTCTGTACCTTTGAAAAAATTAAGATCTTATTCAATGGAAAAAATAGGATCCCGAATTTTATCAACATTTTAAGACCGCCAACTTGGACAGCTTTGCAAGGTTCTAGGGCTTAGAAAAATTTGGAGATGGTTATCGGCGTAGAAATTGATTTAAGGTTGACTTGAAAGGTTTTACGAAACTTCAAATGTAGGAACATTTTCAGCTGAGGAATTTTTAGCCTATGATTTTTCATAAAAGATGCCTCCATTTTGAAAACATAAGCAGTTCTATCGAGGTCCAAAAAGATATGCCTAGTTTAAAATATTGCATAGCAGATTTTTCCTTCTAAGCAGTTCCAGGCCAAATAGCAAAAATGAATGAATTTTTAAATTGACTTTCTCCGATTTGCATGAAATTTTGCATTTTTGTTTGATATGGGCAATCATTCACATACTTTTTTCGAAATGGCGTCTTTGACATTTTTAATAAATTGTAGCACGAAAACATCACTTCTAATTGAGATAACGTCTGAGAAAAAGTTGTAGAGTAAATAAAGTCTTTCTGGGAAAAATAAACACGGTAATTTTTTTAAGGATTGTTGAGCAAACAATAAAAGAAAAGTGTTAAATACTCAATTACCTATGGCAGCGGCGCTGGTGGTATAGTTGTAAACGTGATTACCTCTCACCCCAGCAGGCTTGGGTTCAATCCCAATCGGTCGATAGGTAGGGTCCAGGTGTGGGAGCTGCCTCCCTGGCGTCGGTAGCATTGGTGCTCAGCACGGAAAACAAGATCGACGGAAAATAAATCAAGGAAAACAAATAACCTATGGCTTGAAACGGATAATGTGATTCAGATCAAGTCGATACTATTTTTCGGTTGTATCATTAACGAGAAATCGTTGAAAACGTAAAGTGTAAGTTACTAAATTGAAATAGCGGCACTAACCATGTTGTACGATTTTTTTTCAACAAACAAGAATCCATGCCAAAAGTTTGGATTTTTCAAAAGTTTGTTTAAAAAATAAAAATTAAAGAAAATCATTTTAAGATATTTGAGAATTAAAATTGTTTTTTTTTTTTTAATTTCTACTCAAAATACTAACAAAAATTACCGTGCATATTTTCCCCGGTAGAGACTTTATTTTTCTCTCAGATGTCATTTCGATCAGAAGTGACGTTTTCGTGCTACAATTTATTGAGAAATGTCAAAGACGCCATTTTGAAAAATAAGCTACAAGATAAAAAAAAATGACTGAATTTTAGCGAAATGTGAATTATTAACCATAACAAACGCTTTTGCAATGTTATATGCAAATCGGAGAAAGTTGATCTTGATTCGTCATTTGCCGTGCAACAGCTCTTAATTTTAAAACATGAGCGGTTCTTTCGAGGCATATTATAGCAAAAAAAATTGGTATCTTGGTTGATCTATTTTAACTGCTCATTCTACTCATTGCTCAGAATAATACAGATGGTGAACGATGAAAATCAAACATCTCTAATATTTCGGCCTAACGATCCATTCGGCATAGTGACACATTCGGCCTAGTGACACATTCGGCCTAGTGACACATTCGGCCTAATGACCCATAACCATCAGAATTCCTGGGGACTTTGGTTCTTCGAGAACTTTCATTTATAATCTAGTACGCTCTAAATTCAGAAGCTTTAAATCTTATAAAAGCTCTCCTAACGCTCAAAACTCCAAGCGTTCCAAGAATTTGTATTGTCGTAGCTCCGGGAAAATTGAAAAATATGGGCACGCAATACCCTGAACCGGTGCTTCAGAGTTAAAATGCAAGCAAAAGTACTTAAGGTATAGTTGAAGATGCTAATTTCAAATAACAGACTGTAGTGGTAATTTTTATACGATAGATGGAGTAGATGAAAGCATAGAGTTGATAGTACCGTTAGAGTACGGCAGTGTGAAGATTGTATAACGTACTCTAACGGAACTATCAACTCTATGCTTTCATCTACTCCATCTATCGTATAAAAATTACCACTACAGTCTGTTATTTGAAATTAGCATCTTCAACTATGTAAATCGTTGACTTCACGTAGAAGTAATACTAAAAACATATAGTCAAAGTACTTAAGGTAATTAATGCATTTTAAAGATGCAATGAAAATTATTTTCCCGTACTTAACGTAATTGAAAGTACTCAACGTGTAATTAATAGTACCGAAAATGTAGTTAAAATTAAGACATAAAGACTGTAATTAATAGTTTTTAAAAAGTAGTTAACGGTCAACAGGGTGTTATTTTAGTAGTTAATGCAGTAATTAATGGAAATAATTTTATTACAGTTCTTCCCTCGTCTGAATTAAACGTTATTGCGTGCCTCTCGTTACAAATACCCAGAACTGTCTGAACATTCTGAACTCTTTAAGTGTTTGGAACTCAAAAAAAAACTCTAAATCCTTTAAAAAAACTGAGACAACCAGAAGTCGTAAAACAATGTACAGACAGTATCGTAAATTGCTAAAGTTTAAGTCAAAATCGTATATAAGAATGGCACACCTCACATTATGTTTAAGTTAAATCGTATAGAATGCAAATTTCCGACCTTTATGCGATGACTCATTTTTCCGTCGTACCATATCACAAATTAAATCGGATTACATCGTAAGACTTTTCAAGATGAATTTGTTATTACAGATTAAATCGTATATGATGATAAATCAACCCGTTTAAAATAAATTAAAATATGCACGTATATGGCCTCCACTTTTGTACGTATAAGTCATTTATTTGCATTATATACGAATTGTTTGTTTGTATATAAGTTTGTATATCACGAAAACAGCGTTGAATATACGTGCATTCTGGTTGTCTGTGGAGTCTTGGAACCTCGTTAAGATCCAGTATTACCGAAGCTTCAGCAACTACCAAGAATGTAGCAACTCTAAAATCCATAGAGAATTGTCTTGCTCTTACCCTGTGAGTGAGGGTTCCATAACAAGAGGCCAACAAAAACTCAGCGAGAGCAAGAGCGAACTCAAGCCAAAATGCCTTGGCGTGGGGTAGGCTTTGTTAGGCTTCCTTGTTCAAGATATTGAGCATAGAGAAGACATTTTGGATTCGGTAATACTTTGAGTAACTACTTTATCTAAATCTTTTTTTAAATGACTTGGATTTGGAGAATTATTTAAAAATAATTTAAAATTTGATAGAGAATTTTGTTATGCTGCATATAGCTTAGTTAAAATTTAATCTGTTTTGAACATTGCCTAAATATTCAAAATAAATATTAAGTAGTTTATGAACTACATAACTTTAGACTTTCTCTAACATATGAAAACCTCAGATTTTAAATTTTTCACACACAATTTGCTCTAAACTCAACGTCAAAGAATTTAATATAGATATCCTGAAATTTATAGTTTGAAAGTCTCAAATTTGGTCAATCATTAGCAAACCTCACTCTTTCAATGAAAGTCCCAGACAACATTACTTTTGCAACTCATTCCAGCAAATCATCCCCAATCCAAAAAGCATACGTGATCCAGCGCAGTCTCGTCGGCACCGGCTTGCACAAGAAGATTGAAACTCCTCGCATTGTTCTTGGCACTGGCCGCCCAGTGCAGTGGAGTCTTTCCCGTGTGATCCTCGTTCGATGCTAGGCTTGGCCAAATCGAAAGAATGTACTCGACGATCTGGGTGTGAGCCAATCCAGCCGCTTTGTGCAGCGGTGTCAACCCGTTAGCATCCTTGCTGGTCAAAACGATCCGTGGCGTCGGCGAGGCCGTCTTCTCCTTCAACGTATCAAGGTCGTTGTCCACGACGGCTTGGTGGATGTCCTTGATGACTCCCTAGATTATTTCAATCGATACAAAACATAAGCGCGCAAAGCAAATTGACTAACACAAGAGCAGACCAGTACCATAACATGTGGCACACATTCCAGGAATCGCTTCATCTTTGGATGATGTGATGTTTCCGTTCGAAGTCGCATTCCCTGTCCAGCCCAGATCACCTTGGCCAGCTTGGCTAGCTGCTTTTGATGCAGCCATATCCTGATGTTGGATGGTTTTATGTTCAGACCTGTCAAAAGCAGCGCGATGTACAAATTGCAAAATTTAAAGTGATTACAATTAACTTCATCAAACATTCAGCCGTTCTCTAGGCAATGAACTTACCATCTTTATTTCTGCTATCATTGTCTCGTTGTAGGTTCTGATTGTTCATTTGTAATACTACAAAGGAGAAGCAAAGAAAAACATAGCAAGTTCCATTAGAAGGAGGCTTTTCTGTTGATTTAAACTGCTCTATATTATGGAATGGTAACGTTCGCTAGTGATGTATTACGGTGCATCGGGGCTTGCATCAAATTGTTTACTTGGTAAATATCGTGCAAGCAACTGACCGACGGGTAAAATCGATTTGAACGTAGCTTCCGTTCAGCTGGGCGGTTAGTGTGACTTGTTTCATACATTATTCAATCGATTACGAAGCGAGCCGAGAAAGGAATCTTCACTGATAATACTTTAGTAGTAAACATAAATGGAGAATTCATGGGAAATAAATTGGATGATATAATGGCAAATGCAACGCTGCAATATTTTATTATTATATGTTCAGTTCAGTGCATAGATAAAAAATAAAACAGCAATGCAAACTGTTGGGTGACACTGCCTTCCTGTTTTTTGGCGACACGACCTAATCAACTTTTACGTTTCTTAGATTGGTGCTAAAGCCCGATTCAAAGTAAATTTGGACGCATTCAAGTGATCATAACTCAAGAATTAAACAACATACACGGTTGATCGTCAAACAAAAGAGTAGTTATTCAGCTTTCAAGCGATATATAATAAGTTATTACACTCAAAAGATTTTCAAATCTAAATAGATTAAAATGTAAGCTAAATCGCAACTCTCCTGCCCGACGCATTGCTGGGTTTAAAGGATGAGAATACGAACTTAGTATAAAATTGCTTTATACATAGCAGTGAATAAAGCGCACGTATTCTATCTATGTATAGTCATTACTAATTCGGGTTTGGGCTTTGATGCTGCTGTCATTCATTTTATTGCATGCTTCATTTTTTCCTTTTGTAAATAATAACTAAAAATAGGGATACTGGTGAGTATTTTATTTCAATTAGAAAGATTTGACTCGAATTAGCTCCGTGCATGGTGCCCGAGTCCGCTAGATTGTCTTCCACATCTGCATCGAACATTTCATCGTCATCTGCCTCGGACTCACCATCGGCACCGGAATCCGTTCCCATTTCTGGCCCTATGGCACCCATAATCGTGGCATTCGAATTGAGCAGGTTATTGTCCTTCTTGGCAGCGACACGATTGACTTGCGTGACACGTCGGCGCTTCTTATTGCTCATCGGTTTGCAGGTTCCACATAGAAGGAGCACCAAAGTCGTAATCCGGTTCCGGACGTACCGCGAGGACACGTAGTAGGAATCCTGGCAGGTGAGGCTTGACACAAGAAAGCCCCGGAACACCGGCTCCGGATGGAAGATCCGATCAGCTGCTTGCATGCCGTAAAATTTAACTTTTTTCTTCATATAGTTTTCGACGGTTCTGCTGTAGACGAACGAAAGCAGGATCATCAGTTGGTATCTGTTGACAAAGGAAACAATTAGATCATGCTGCCTTGCACCGGCAAACTGAGGCCTCACAAGGGACTCCGGAAAACTGTCCCATGCAGTCAGCTCACCGTTGATCGGTCACAGTTCCGTTTCGGATTCATTCTTGAGCTTCAGCAGTCTTCCAGACAGTTGGAGTTTATTCTCTTTCGTAGCTGATTCCTTTAGATCTTTCTACAGGAACGGAGTTCGTGCAATTAAAATGCCATTTCCATGGATTTCATAATTTAAACAAACGCGATTGACAGCTTTCCAATTATACGCTGAACGAATTCCACACAGTTATTGAAACTTAGTATAATTTAGAAGGAAAATTTTAACCTACTCAATGTATAAGTAGGGCGTAATCATTAATTGATTTATTTTTAATCTATCATTGTTTAATAATATTTTTAAGTGTACATTTCACCGTTTCGAACGAACTGTCGCACTTTACCTGTGATCGATGCCATCATGATTTGCACAGTCGCTGGCGATACTGTACCGGCGAACTTATTCCACTTTAAACGCATTTGTTGTGCATTTTTCACTTATTTACCGCCTCCTCGAAGTTTTCGCTTGACAATTGCCCAATTTTTTTCGATCGGTCTGAACTCAGGGCAATTCGGAGGATTAATCTCTTTGGCGACGAAATTAACATTGTTTGCAGCATACCATTCAAGTACCTCCTTAGAGTAGTGGCAGCTGGCTAGATCCAGCCAAAACATAACGTTGGTCTTGTGTTGCCGAATAAAGGGTAAAATACGCTTTTTCAGACACTCTTTAATGTAAACCTTCGACGTCATTGTGTGAGATATGATCAAAACCTTGGTTTTAAGGCCACAACTGCAGATTCCTTGCCAAATCATTAGTTTTCGAGCAAACTTATCAGCAAAATCAAATTTATACCTGGAAGGGACATCCCCACGGCCAGTTGCCAGGTAAAATTTACGTCCGGGGATTTGTTTGCAATCCATTTTGACATATGTTTCGTCATCCATTAAAATACAGCCATCAAATTTCATCAAAACTCGTTCGTATAGTAATCGTGCTCGCTTTTTGGCCACTAAATTTTGTTTCAGGTAGCGATTCGGATGTTTACTGGCACAAAAAGACTTATATCCTTCTCTTGAAAGGATGTTAAGCACGGTGGAAAAGTTGGAATCGTATTTCTTCGCCAAATCACGTATGGAGTCACCTGGGTTGCTTTTCACGTACCTCAACACCTTTCTCCTCAGCTCTTTGTCCCTAGTGCCACTTTTATGATAGATGCGCTGTGCTCTATTCACACTCAGAGTATCCTTGTAACGTTTGATTACAAGACTCACCGTTGACTTTGGGAATTTTAACACTTTTGCTATTTTTGAGGCAGACTACGAAGACTACTACCAATTCTCTAGATGTTTGTGCACAATTAATTTTCTTTTCTCAAGTTCCGTGATCCGTAATTTCGGGATGCGTCGATCAATCGAGAAAAACTTTTCACCAATTTCTTTGTCAACAAATGCCTATCAAACGTTTTTTTGTTCCAACCACAAGGGGCGCGGTGGTGTATTAAACCGTACGTCCAGATTTACTTTGAATCGAGTTTTAGTGCTTTCTGTACAATTTTTAATTAAATAACCAGGACTTCTGTACTCCCCAAAGAATGTATAATACCACAAATTGAATAAAGCGTTCGATACATTTAATAGAATGCAAAGATGGCAAAAATTACCCGTGTTGTCAAAAACTGGAAAGCACTTTATTACTATAGGGGAAATGGATGTCGGCGTAAATGCCCCTAGTTTGGGCCCATACATAAATTCAGCAATCGACTAAATTTTCAATAGCGACCAAAAATATCCATTAGTACCGTCCCAATGACGCGTTCATCTAGATAAAATTGATAAATAGCATATTTTTAGCAATGGGCCCAATCTTAGATCCATAGGCCAACATTAGAGCCATTTCCCCTATATATTTTTCAAAACTTTATTTAGGAGATTTTTTAGCCTTGGGTTCACACTTAGAAATAACTAATTGAACACGCGCCGGAATCCATCTTTCACATAAAGGATGAGATGTACACACATATTTTTTTTTTTTCTGCCGAGATTCCAACAGCCGAGTGATTCTGTAATTTATTTTGCTGAGATTCAGTAAAACAATTGACGAGACTCAGCTAACAAATAACGTTTAGCTGAGATATCAGCTAACAAACAGATATTTTGCAGGGATATCAGGAAAATTAAATGCCGAGGTAATTGGTTATTGGAGATTTTACCGAGTTGGATAAAGTGTGTAAACAAATATTTTATGCAATATTAAGTGCTCCGAGACTGAAAAGTTCATTATTAAACGAAATGTACGATGGATTGAGCTGAATTTTGCGTCTATTATGACTCAATGTTATGTCAAAATTGACGCTCGCATACATGATTTTTTCTAAGTGTATAGTTCATCTCCGAGGAATACTATATGCAAAGCATATGATATTCTTATTTTTATTTTATTTTTTGTCGCTTTAACGCGAGAATCAGATTTGAACTCGCGAGTTTAGCGTGCAAAATATGGATTTTAACCTTTATTCCAGGGCTGCTTCCATATGAAAATATATCACAAAACGAAAATAAGTAGATTTGACTTATCCATTGGACAAGGTTGGCATGCTCTTTTTATACATAAAGTGCACTTTTTTTTAATAACTTTTCAGTCAGTTGATCAATCTTGGTATTTTGTTATATTCACAGTTATCTACAAAAGAACAATATGTGCGAAAAATTAGCATACCAACCCTGGAATTGGATAGAAGGGACATATAATGTTGATTTGTGAAATGGACTACCGTAGAGGCGCCATATTCGAAGCGGTTCCTAAATCGGTACACTCAATAATTTTCGACTATCTTCAATCATTATTTTTGAAATGTTACTTCTGCATATATTAGCTCCTGTGCTCTTAGGATGATGGTGCAACAAAGTTTTAAAAAATATCTTGTCAAAATCGATAAAAATTAGACGAGTTCGTCATCATTAGGGACGCGTCAAATATGCTGCTGGCACGGTAAGTAAGTGCAAAGTGTCATGTCCGTAACATCGAAGTATCCCAGTAGAGATATTTTAGGTCAGATGTTTTTACTGACATAACTATCAGTCATCCTTGTACGTTTCTAAATTACTATTAGAACATTTTCTATATTTTATTTATAATGAAGCACTAGTTATTTTATGAAACGTCCACCAATAGTACGACCATACCTTGATTATTTTGCTGATTGCACTAAAATAATATATCTATTGGCGCACTTTGCCTAACACCACCACTAAAACTTCTTTCAATCTTCAATAGCAGTACTCTGCACAGGACGTCGCTGTTACTATCACTACCGTGGAAGGACACGCAATATTACACAGGCCCTCCGGGGTAACCACTGATGTAGCACTATCGAAGTCGTTAATAATTCACATTCGACACACTTACTGATGGCGAAGTGGCAAATATATAGGTTAGACACCGAACAATACAGTCGATGCCATCAAATGGACTAAATTCCGCTTTATTGCTGTCTCCCGATATGTATCGATCATAAGCCGATAACTTCCGTTCACAACACCGGTCCTAATTACCAC